CCTGGGGCCAGCTCTTCCACCACCTCTCTGCTTCATTGATCCCTGGGGACAACCCCCTCAGCCGTGTGCGCGACGTTGGCACTGCAACCTGCTCCTGTGCCAGGGCGGGTGGCTGCCACCTTGCCTCTCCATCCGCCTTTTCCTTTCCTTTCTTCCTCACCTCTTCCCAATGCTGGGCAGATCTTCCAGGCTTTGCTCCTATAGCAGCATCTTCTTACGGTGGTGCTGCCACGTCGGTGCTGCCACGTTTCTGACCTGTCCCCAGCAGCAGCAGCCTGAGGACAATGTGGGAGCCTTTAGGTAGGTGCTTTGGGGAGCACGATTCGAYCATTAATGGGTGGGCAGGATACATGTGAGCCACCAGCTTGTCCCTTCACCAAGGGTCGAGATCCTTCCCCTTGGAGGTGCTGATTAAACCTGTCCCGGTGCCTGGAGCCAGCCTGGACCAAGCTGCCTCGTATTGCTGGAGGTGCTGGAGMTGAGTCAGTGCAGCAACAGCAGAAAATTTAGTGGCAAAGGAGCGGAGCTGCAGCCGTGGGCTGACTGAATCAGGGAAGGAGCTGGATCCATGCGTTAACTCGGTGGCCATCCCTGCCCACAGCATGACTTCAYTGTCGGGTGAACATCCCACCATGGAAACCAAACCTCAGGAATGCGGCTGGGTGTGCCGGCCGCTGCTCTCCTCTCGCACGGCTCTCGCGGGCGGCAGCGCTCCCGGGCTCGCAGAGTGTCCCCGTCACCTCGTCCGGGCGCTGCCCCGGCCCCGCAGCCGCCTGAGCTGCTCCGGGCAGCTCTTCCCAGGCACGGCCATCCCGTGGGATGAGCCCGTCCCYGGCTCCAGGTGCGGGGTGGAGGGAGGAGCGGGTGCCGTGGGCGCTGCCCTGGGCTCTCCGCTCCCAGGGAGCCCTGGCTTTGCCCCGTGCGGGAAGCGGGGGGGTTGTAGCAGTGGAAAAACATCATGCTCTAAATGCCCTCTTTTTACCCCTCTGTCCCTCCCCATCCATAGGTGGCCTCTGTCATGGCAGATTCCGCAGCAGCTCTAGGAGAGCCCACGTTTTGGCACAAAGGATAAAATGCTTGGAAGCAACGGGAATAGAGATGATCCATGGAGAATGATCCCTGTGGGCGGATGGCCGGGATGCCTGATGCTCCTTGTGCCTCCTCCTTGGCCAGGTGAGGCCGGTGGGAGCTCTGTGCATGGCGGGGTCCCCACGGGGCCCCCACAGCATCGCACTGTGTGGGGACCCCGTGTTTTGCTGCCCTTGCTGCTCAGGGGCCGTGGGGAGCAGCRGCCTGGGGTGCTCGGGTGCCTCCAGCGCCGCCCCGTGCTCCCAACTCAGGAGCAAAGCCGTAACCGCTGCCCTGCCCCACGGAAAACACAGTGCCCCACAGAAAACACGGCGCCTCTCCGCTCCAGCCCCAGAGCAGCGGCACTTCCAGATGCTTCCAACTTCCAGCAGCCCTAGGTGCCCTTGCAGGACTGCCTGTCCCGGAGCCTCACTCGGCCATTCCCAGCCATTCCTGGCCATTCCCAGGCTCTCCAGCCCCATGTCAGGGTTTGGCCCAAGCACCCGCTTTTCCCGGGCAGGGTTCGAGCTGGGCTCAGTGGCGTCAGGCTCACCCTGTGCTGCGGGCRGGGGAAATGTTTTCCCTTTCCCCTCCCTTCCCTGCCCGCCAGCGCGAGTCCCGTTTCCTCCGTGCGCTGCCGCCAAGCAGCTCTGGAACCGCTGGAAAATGCATCAAAGCGCAGGGCAAGGCGCGCGCGAGGGTTACTCGCAGTCACAGCTGCATCCAGCTGCTGCCTTTAAAGCAACAGTGCGGCCGCAGCCGCCTCCCTGGGAGAGCCGGGTGTCCCAGGGGCAAAATCCRCTGGGAAGAGCCCTGGGATGGGAATGCCCAGGGCCCTGTACCTGGTTTAGAGTGATCCCGCTTTGGGAAGGGGGTGTGGAGGAAAAGGCAGCCCGGGATGTGCACGGGCAGCTGCCCTGCTGTCTCCTCCAGGATGTTTGTGCAGGGTCCTCGTGCGCTTCATCCTGACCAGCGAGTCCCGGTCGGCTCAACCTGCGCRGGGGTGCAACGGTCCCCGCCGTGCCCGGGAGCAGCGCCCGGTTCCTCGCGGTGCCCACCCGCAGCTCCAGCCTCAACGGTGTGTGTTTAACAAGGAAAAGCCCCAGTGGCTTCTTAACTGCCATAACTGCTGGAAGACACGGAGCGTTGGCCGGCGCAGCGCGGTGAGCGCGGCGCCCTTCCCTCGTGCCCGGCRGCTCTGCCCGCGGCTGCGACGCTGCGGGAGCTCGCAGGGCAGCGCCGTCCTGCCCGGCCTCAGCTGCCCTCCTGCTACCCGGGGCGGACAGCGGCGAAACCAGGCACCCGCCGAGCCCGTCTCTTCCCCCGGGATGCCCCATCCTGCTCCCAGCAGCTCCTCCCCACCGGGCTCCCACACCAAGGCCCAGGACGGGCCCTCGGGGCACTCGGAGGTGACGCTGGAGCAGRGGATTAGGGAGGCACCAGGCCACGAGGTGCCTGCTCACATGGGGCAGCCAGGAGGTGCCGCGGGAGCAGGTGAGACTTTGCTTCTGTACGTGTATAATTTGTATAGATTTTCAGAGCTGGAAAAGTCAGGAAATGGAAAAACTTAAAGAAACTGGGTCAGGTTTCTTCCCAGGGAGACAAAACCCAAACCATTGGTGGGAAAGTGTTGGCAGGGTCAACCTGCCATGAGCCCCTCTTCTGGGACTGCATAACCTCTCTATAAAATGAAAACCGCCAGAAACTTACTTTGTTCTTTCTTTTTTAGCATCCAAATTCAGGCTTAATTTTCATTTAAAAATATCTTCTTGAAACAAAAAAAGCGCATTGTGGTTTGCTTTGACAACCTCTAAATGGACCATTTTGGCCCTGACATGGTCTTTTCCCTTTCTTTTTGCCCTAGATGGTGCCCGGGAGCTGGGTCAGGCCCTTGTTCTGTGGGAGGATCTTGTGCCCCCAGGTTGCTCGCCTGGCCGCTGCCGGGAGGGCTGCCCGATTCCCGCRGGGATGGGAAGGGGCTGGATGCGGGCAGGGAGCGGGGGCGCCGCTGCCACTCAGCCCCCCGGGGAGGCTGGCGGTGCCCCCCGCGCCGGCGCCCCACACAATGAACAATGAGGAGCTCAGGGCCCTGCCAGCTCCCCCGGGGCTCCGCYGGTGCCCGGAGCGCTGGCGAATGCCCTGGGAGCAGCAGGGCGGGAGAGGAGGCTCCTCCATGGAGCGCCCGTGGCATGGGCACCCGGCGAGGCTGCCCTGGTGCCTTCCCGGCACGTATCACTGAATCAGAGAAGGATGAGCCTGAAAACTTCATTTTGTCCTAATGATTCGTATCTGAGGGCGCAGTGAGTGTAAAAAACGCCGTGTAAAGCTCAGCCYTGAAAGCAGAAAGCAAAAACAAGGCCGGGTCCCCGCGGGTCCCRCACCACACAGTGCGGCTGCCCACGGCAGCCTTCGCTTTGCTGCTCGCCGSCCTGGCTGCCTGCGAGGCCCCCGTGCAGCGGGCGAGCGCCAGGGGAGGCAGGAGCAGGGCCTGGCTGCAGMGCGGGGGGATTCGAGCCGCAGCCCGCCGCGCAGGTCGGAAGCCGCGGGGAAGCCGGGGCGCCCCGCGGGGCGGCCGCTTTCCTGCGCGGAAGCAGCTGTGGCGGCCGCTGCCGTGCGACAGCAGCGCTCGCAAAGCTTCCTGCTCGCGGCGACGCCGCTCCGCTCCTGCCCCGAGCGGCTCTGCGGAGCCCTGGAGAGCCCCATCCCTGCCCGGCTGCTCACGGAGGGTTTTGCTCCTTCCCTTTGGATCTGTTTGCAAAATGAAGGGCTTCTCTGCTGGTGCCTCCTGCCCGGCACAAACCTTAGTGGAGGGCCTGGATTCCCAGGCCCGTTTGCAGCGTCGTTCCCCTGTGGAGAGCAGAGCGGGATGAGCCCTCCTGGTACCCCAGGATCTGCTCAAGCTGTGAAACAGAGGGGAAGTGCCTAGGGATATCGCTGCTGGGCAGGAAAGGGAATATCCCAAAGGAATCCCACTTCCCAGCCCGGCTCCATGGCTGATGTGGGCAGCTCGGGGCTGGGAAGGCAACAGAAGGGGGATGTCAGAAACACCGGGGCTGGTTTTGCACCCTGGGCTGTCCCTGCAGCCTGTCCCGCCGTGGGGAGGTGCCCAGGGAGCTGCCCCCCTGCCCGGGGCTGCTGCGGTGCTGGCAGGACCCCAGCGGCAAGCGGGGGGGTCCTGGTGGTTTTTGGGGTCCCAGGTGAGCTGGGGATCCAGGGAGGGGTYGGTCCATTGCTCCAAGGAAGCCAGGTCTTGCTGAGGCCTTGCGCTCGGATCGGAGATGACGGGCACATCTCAGTAGCTCCATGCATGGTCAAAACAGGGAATTTGCTCTTTTTTTTCCTTTTTTTTTTTTTTTTCTTTTTTTTTTTTCTGGGGGTACAGGGGTGGTGAGTGGGGGGTTGTCACTGTCAAATGACCTGCTTGGGGTCAGGGGGTGGCAGGAAAGCCCCAGATCCCTCTTCCAGGAATCAGATCCCAATTGCCAGGGCTGCTCCCCCGGAGAGCATGGGGATCCTCCTCCCCATGAACAGGATCGCTTTGTGGTTTGTTCTGGCCGTGGCCAGTGCACCCCAAGCTGCCTCCTCATTCCAGAAGATCCCCCATGGGTTCCAGATGGGATCCCCCTAATCACCAGCTCCCAGGGGTGCCCCCAGCAGGAAGAATTGGGGGACACCCCTAAACCCTGGTGCCCCCTTTCCCTGCCAGCACTGAGGGGTCCTTTCACCCACTGGCCAGGCTGGGAGCAGCGGGTGGAAGGGCAGGCAAAGAGTTAAAGCTACCTGCTTGTGCCATCCCTCTAGACTCCACCTCGGAGAGAGGGGAGGGAGAAGGGAAAAAGAAAAAAAAAAAAAGAGGAAAAGGAAGAGGGCAGAGTGAAGAGCAGGGTTTGCAGGCAGGAGCGGGGAGCGGCGCCGCACGTCCTGGCTCCAGCATGTTCCAGTGGTGAGTGTTGGCTGGGGACGGGGCCCCACGTCCATCCCGAATCCTGCTTTCAGCCCGGGTGCGGGCTCCCGCTGCCCTCCTGGCGCCCCGCATCCCGGGCAGCGGTGCCTTTTGCTCCATACGGAGCCACGGAGCAGGGAGCCCCGGGGAGGCCGAGGGTCCCCATCCCACCCATCTCCCTCCTCCGCAGGGACACAGGCTGGGAAAGGGGATTTTGCCCCAACGCGGAGGGATGAGGAGGGCTCTGTGGCTCCCGCCTGTGGGTGCCGGCACCAGCGCGATGCTCCCACCGGCCGGAGCCTCCGGATGCTGCCAGGGCCGTGCGGGGCTCCGGCTGCCCCTGCCCGGCATGGCACTGCGCCCGCGTCCCGCCCGGCCGTGCCGCGAGCCCGGCCGCTTTTTGGGGCGGTTTCCGTGCTCCCGCTGCGGCTCCACACGGTGCCCCAGCCCTGGCACGGCCACAGAAGGGGCTCTGTGTTCGCGCGGCTTCGCGGCCGGGTCCAGCTGCGGCGCTGGGAAAAGCCGAGTCCACCGGCAGTCCCGGCCAATCCAAGCGGTTTTTGTGCACATCTGAAGCCGGTGGGAGCCTCTCCAGGGAGTGGGGCTGGAGACTCCGTGTCTCCTGGGGCTGCTCCTGCCTGCAGCATCACCACCGAGAGGGAAAATGCCTGGGATCGGGGCTGTATTTAAGAGCCCCGGGCAGTGCTGACGGTGGCACAGCTGCCTCTCTAGGAGGTGTTTGAGCTTCTCCTGGTGGAGAAAAGGCAGGAAGAGGAGGCAGGAGCGGGATAGGACCCCTTTCCAAGTGCTCTCAGCACCAGCTGCACTGATTTTGGCCATGGAGCATGTAGAACAACCCGCAGTCTGAAAGGAGACCCACCGTTATTCCTATAATTCCCTGTTATTCCTGTAAACTCCCTGTCTCGACCCAGGAATCACCCATGGGTGCCCGTTGGGGTGGGCAGGAGCAGACCCAGGAGCTCCCATCCCCTCGGGAGCTGCRGGGAGGCTGGCACCTCCGCCGTGCTCCCCGATACAGCCAGGCTATCCCATCCCTGCTCCTGCTCCGCATGGAGACCGGGGGATCCCAGGGGTCTCCTCRGGCAGCGGCTCCTGCCGGGACCGGAGCGGCAGCGGTGGCTGCTCCGGGGCGCTCGGCCCTGGGGGACTGGGCGCAGCCCCGAGGGGGTTAAAGGGAAGGGCGAGATCGGATCGGGGCTGCTCCCTCATCAGTCTCAGCTGAGTGGCCGCGTATAAAACCCGCCGGAGAATATCCAGCCGGTCGCCTGTAATTGCTTATTTCCATGCTAGTGAGCGCGGTTTTCCCACGTAAATTTGGGACTAGAAAAGTCTTTGTGCTCGGGAGGCTGCAGCACCCGGAGCTGCTGCTCCCTCTCGTCGGAGCCCTGGCACTCGGGCCGTGGTGGCCGAGGGTGACACTGTCTCCTGCCCTCGGGGACAGCTCCAGGGTGTCCCGGATTGCAGGGCCCACCAGCCAAGGCTCCTCTCCCCACTCTGAATCCTTATTTAACTCAGCAGCCATCAGTTTGAGGAGCCACCGGCTGTAACCAGCTCTCGTTTCTCAGAGCGCTCCMGAAGAGAGAAAAGTGGTGGGGAAAATAAAACCACCTTCCTGCCCCCAAAACTCGCACAYGTGAGTGGCTCTTGCCGGTGTCACGGGGGCTCTTCTGCCCCATCTCTTGGGGTGCTGCAGGAAAAGAACCAAAGGAAAAGATACAACTTGGGGCAAACGGCCCCAAAGCTGCAAGCAGGTGTCAGGCTGCGTCCAGCTCCCCAGCGCTGCAGCAGCTTCGCAGAGCTGAAGTTTGAAGTTTATTCTTTTATATATATATATAATAATAATATATATATAAAATAATATATATATTCTATATATAATATATATTCTTTTATAGATAGATAGATAGATAGATAGATAGATATAGGAAGACCCTGCACATGCAGGGTCACCTGGAGTACATGGCACAGGGCTGCATCCAAGTGAGTTTTAAAGAAGATCTCCAAAGATGGAGACTTTTTTGAAGGAGAAGGAGAAGGAAACGGAACCATATATATGTATATATATATATATATATGTGTGTGTGTGTGTGTGTGTTTTTTTCTTTTTTTTTTTTTGGCTATTTGAAAATTAATTGGGCTGACATGTTCAGCCTGCTCGGCACGCAGAGGCCCAGCTGCTCTGGCTTTGCCCGGCCTGGATTTGCATGGGGAGACGGCCCGAGGCGGCTGGAGGGAGGAAATTGGTGCGGATGCGGGAGCCGGGGAGGGAGCCAGCGCCGGGAGGCCGGCGGGCAGAGCGGGCAGCTCCTCTGCTCTCCGGAGGCATCAGCAAGGCAAAACCCCCTGTGTTGGGCTGTGGGGGAGACAGGGGTGATATTTCATGGGAAGCAAATCCATGACGGTCACTAGAGCAGCTCCATGGGTCACCCAAACCCCAGCTGCACCCCAGCAACACCCATTGACGTGTGTGGGATGTGCAGCTCTCGTCTCTTCCCTGTTGACCCTCCAAGTGCATCTCAAACGGCAGATTTTGACCCTGAGCTGCTGTTTGGAATTGATCCACTGATGCCCCTTGTGCTGCTCCCGACGTCCTTTCTCGGTCCTGGGCTGTCCGTGAGGCCAGCTCAGGGCCGCAGGAAGCCCAGCCGTCTCCCAGAGCTAACGTTTCTGCAGAGAAAATAGTTCTTTTTGGTGTGTGTTTGTCCTAAACTGAAATTTGCACTGAACGCACATGGGAGTCTCCCACAGCACCATGCACAAAGCTGTGGTGGGACCAGAAGGGGACGGGGCACAGATGAGGAGCATCCCACGATCCCTCCAGAAGGTGCTCTTGCAGACCAGCCTTTTGCAGCCCGTGGTTTCTGCTCCTTAACTGACTCGTGTTGTCTCTTTAGGAAGAAGACCATCTACAAAACGGTTTGCCTGTCCTTCTTGCTGGTGATCATGGTGACGGTGCTGCAAAGGGGCATSGCCCCCAGCCAGTTCATGCAGGGCCAGCAGCAGAAAGACCCGCTCCTGCCCGAGCCCCTGAAAACTCAGAAGAGAGACAGCGCCTTCTCCATCTCCATCACCAGCACCTTCTGGAAGAGCAAGAAGGAGAAACCTTCCACGGAGGAGGAAAGGGTGGCAGAGAAGCACTCAAGATCCTGGGACATCACCACTACCAACTGCTCGGCCAACCAGAACTTCAGCAAGGTGGACTGGTTCAAAGGGCTGGAGCCAAACTTCCAGCAGTTCCTGCTCTATCGRCACTGCCGCTACTTCCCCATGCTCATCAACCACCCCGAAAAATGCACCGGGGACGTCTACCTGCTGATAGTAGTCAAGTCCATCATCACGCAGCACGACCGCCGCGAGGCCATCCGCAGGACCTGGGGCCAGGAGAAGGAGGTGGATGGTAAGAAGATCAGGACGCTCTTCTTGCTGGGCATAGCCTCCAAGGAGGAGGAGAGAGCCAACTACCAGAAACTGCTGGATTACGAGAACCACATCTATGGGGACATCTTGCAGTGGGATTTCCTGGACAGTTTCTTCAACCTCACCCTCAAAGAGGTCCATTTCCTCAAGTGGCTGAACATCTACTGCGACAACGTCCGTTACATCTTCAAAGGCGACGACGACGTGTTTGTGAGTCCCGACAACATCCTCGAGTTCCTGGAGGACAAGAAAGAGGGAGAGGACCTCTTTGTAGGGGACGTTCTCTACAAGGCCAAGCCCATCCGGAAGAAGGAGAACAAGTACTACATTCCCAGCGCCCTCTACAACAAAAACAACTACCCTCCCTACGCAGGAGGTGGAGGCTTCATCATGGATGGGTCCCTAGCCAAGAGGCTGCACAAGACCTCGGAGACACTGGAGTTGTACCCCATCGACGATGTCTTCTTAGGGATGTGCTTGGAGGTCCTCAAGGTATCACCAATYGGGCACGAGGGCTTCAAAACTTTTGGCATCGTGAAGAACAAGAACAGCAAGATGAACAAGGAGCCGTGTTTTTTCCGGAGTATGCTGGTGGTTCATAAACTGCTGCCCCCAGACTTGCTCCAAATGTGGGACTTGGTCCACAGTAACTTGACGTGCTCAAGAAAACTCAACATCCTTTAGCTCAGCCTCTGTGGGGAGCTGGGACTGAAGGGGGCCGGGGTGGCTGAGCCCTGCTCCGCGCCGGGCCGAGCCCCGGCTTGCGGCACAAGCTCCTCAGGGGCAGCTCTCTGGAGGATGAGGAGGGCAGGAGCCTGTGCTCGCGGGCAGGGGTGGCCACAGTGTTTGGTCCTGTACTGTAACGTGGTTTGCTCATCTCCAGCTGGGTTGGGGGTTGCTGAAAAAGAAGGAAAAAAAAATATCTAGCACAATATGAAGGGAGAGAAAGAGAGCAGGGGGAGGAGAGGTTTGGGTACTGTCCCCACTGGAGCATGGAGACCACCAAGGGCAAGGGAGGGACGCGGCGTGGGTGTTTTCGGGGATGCTCAGGGTCTGGCTGCCTGTGGAAGCTGCTCCTCCAAGGGCTGAGCGGTTCACAAGCACGTGAGCCCCTGCTGCTCGCAAGTCACAGGCAGTTGCAGTGGTTGCCCCAATTTCTCCTCCATGTGGGGTTTTATCGATGCGGCCCCAGCCTGGCTCTCCTGGAGGCTGCAGCTGCCCCGGCACCAGCGCTCCCAGGGGCCGAGCTGGCAAACCAGCCCGTGTGGGTCTGCTGCAGAGGGCCCCATACGCTGGCGGCACCCAGGGCACGGGGAGGGACGTGCCCAGCTGAAATTCCTCAGGGATTTGCTCCTTTCCTGGCAGGGAAGGGGAAGGGACKAGCCGGGTCTGTGGCTGAAGCAGCAGGTGGGAACAGCCGAGGGTGCCCTGCCGGGGCTGCACTGGTGCTTCTCCGCCATGCAGAGCAGGGCCTGGTATTTTGCACCCACTTTGCTCCTTCCTAGGCGCTTGCAGCACTTGCTTCTTGAGGACGCAGCCAAGGACCAAGCCAGGCAATGGGAGATGCTGCCCTTTTCCTCCTCCCTTCCACCATGTGCGTGGGCCCTCCTGCTGCTCTCCTTCTCTCGCTCTCTCTGGTGCCAGGCATTGAAGGAAAAAAATTAATTACTACCTCAAAGGTCCCCCTGTGCAGTGCCTTTTCTTCCTCTTTTTTTTTTTTTTTTCTCCTTTTTTTAATGTGTTTTGGAAATGTGCCTGTTTTGCTGCTCCGCGCCTGCATGTTCCCCAGGTTAGAAAGCAAACAAGGGGCACAAAGCAGCCAAAAACAGCCAGGCCACCCCCCGGCTCCTCGCGCCACCGGCCGCTCCGCCTGGCTGCCGATTCCAGGAGGAGCAGGAGCTCCCAGGGCGGCCAGGCGCTGCGGGCTGCTCGGAGCGGCCGCAGCGGAGCCCGGCGGCCGCTTTGGCACCTTGTTTTCCAAAACGGAGCCGCTGTCRCTTTGATCAGGTACAGGAAAGGCGGCCGCGTCCCGCTGCCGTTCGCTGGGCCGGGCTGCGCACGTGAACCCTTCCCTGCTGCTTTCCACCTGGTGGGACCTGGACAGAGAAACCTTGTAGATTTGGTGAATATTCTAGTTTCTAAATAAAGGTTGAAAACAAAGCTGAACAAAGTGAAAGAAAAGAGAAGATGGGAGAGGAAAACCCAAACTCTCACCTTAGTCTTTGATCAGGGAAACTGAGGCACGGGATGGGRAATGGGACACCCAGGACTGTCTCTAGTGGCAAAGACCATGGGTGGCTTGTAGCAGTGTCCCCCTCATCGCACCGAACCCTGGGTGATGAACCTTGAGAGCTCCCAGAGATGGAGATGGTATCTTGGTWTCTAACTAGATATTGATTTTGGTCTGGATCGGGTGAATTTTGATGTCCCCAGTGCCCTGCAGAGCCCTGACTGCATCTGCACAGGGCACCAGGACACACCACGCAGGAGGTGACTGGCACCGAGGGAAGGTCCTTTCCCTCCCCAGCTCCGGTTGCCCTAAATCCCCCGGCCTGGGGCCTGGCACCTTCCAGAGCCCTTGGGCTCCCTGCCTCGACTCACATCCTCTGAATGGGGGAAAACCCATTCGCTCCCCCCCATCCTGGGGCTTTTAAGCAAGGAGTGTCCTCGGCGCAGCCTTGCGGAGGGGCCGGTAAGGCCGAACCCGCTCCAAAGGCCGGGAGCGACACCCGAAGGGAGCAGCGCCTGTTGGCCAGCAGCTGCGGGACATGGCGAGGCCGGGTGGCGGCTGCCACCTGCGGGACGGGGCAGCGAGGCCGGGCTGTGAGGCCTGGCGGCGAGGCCGGGCTGCGGCTGCCACCTAGCGCTGCGCACTCCATTTGCCGTGGGCCGGCGCACCTGCTCCAAAATGGCTGATGCCAAACGGCTCACTTGAATGCACGAGCAGGGGTAGCTCATTGGACAACAACTGCAAGGATTATTCTCCCRCCCTTCAGCGGCTTGGTTTTGGGATTCAGGATGAACGGGAGAAAGTACCTGGACGAGCACCCGAGGATCCCTGCGTGGTCCCCTTTGTTCCTCCCCGCGCTGCGATGGAGCCACCACCTGCTACTGAGGATCTCGAGGGAGGCTGAGGGTCAGTGGCCGCTGCCAGGCGCGCTACCCTGTTGACTAACAGGGTAGCAGCTAGCGCTGGATTTAACCTCAAACAGTGGCTGTCCCACGTTTCTGTTCCCACAGCATCACCTTATGGAGCCACCCCAGCAGCAGCCCTCCCGCTTCCAAGAGAACAGGTCACGAGTGTCCCCAAAAAGCATCCCAAGCCCTCAACTTCTTGCCCGTTCCCCAGACAGTGAGGGGCCAGAGAGCAGCCATGAGCCTCTTTGAGGCAGCTTAAGCTGCAGGGGGGTAACATACTTAAGGAGAGGGGGCACTAGGGCCAATGCTGAGACAAATGAGCTGAAACCTTTAGAGAAGGCAGAGAGAAGGCCCAAGAGCCTGACACAAAACACTATTTTTCTTCCCCTCCCCTTAAAACAAGAGTTGCCTACAGCTGTAATGGGCAGAGGACAGCTGCACCTTCTATTCTCACCCTTCCAAGAAAGCTCCTGCTAGGCAGCTTACACCCTTCTCCCCTCTTTCCCTGCCCCTTGGGAGCAGGTCCAAGCTCAAGCACCAGGCGAGGACCGGGAGGCTGCCCTGAGCAAGCGGGRCCTGAAGCCTGTGGAAGTGGAGACCTTGGAGAGTGAAGAATAACAGGCACGGACCAAGGCTCACAGCCCTGCTTTGGTGAGTGGCGCACAAGGGACACGAACCAGTTTAGGTCCTTTAATCTGTCCAAGACAGGGTGCTGAAGCACAAATGATAAAACATTCTGCATTTTTACAGCAAAAAATGCTACAGAAGTTTATAGGAAAAAAAATATTTTTGTACATGGGTAAAACATTATAAATTCAAGACAACTCACAGACAAGGGGGAAATTCCCACATCTCTATCACTCATTTCTTTTTAAAAGTTCGTTTGAATAGGCAAGCAGTCAAAAGGGCTTGCTATGTCTTCCTTGAAATGAAAATTGTTTCTTCCAAGTGGCTCACAGTACTGCTTCGCATCTTGGAATGTCCTCCGAAGGCTCCGCCAAGATAAAAGGAGAATAAAAACCCCCGGAGTCCTTTCAGATAGTCTCAGAGAGCAGAAAGGGAAGGAAAGTGAGAGAAAGTTTATTCAAACTTTATCTTCTTTCCTTGGGGCTTGTGGTCTCCACCTCCTCCTCTGCCTCCTCGGAAGCCACCTCCTCTACCTAAAAAGAAAACCAGGTTGAGAAGCAAGTTACACATTGTCCCTAAACAGACTCCACTGCCCGTCCAAGCCCATTCTGGCACAGRACAAAGCAAATTCACACCCAGGGCCTTGCAGGACACCAACACGTTCTCAAGCATGACTGAAGCCTGATCATACCCCGGGAAGAGAAGGCTTCTGCATTTTCTTACCTCCAAATCCTCTGCCGCCACCTCTGCCACCAAATCCACCTCTTCCTCCTCTGCCGCCTCTGCCACCACGACCACCGAAGCCGCCGCCAAAGCCGCCGCCACGTTGAAAATCACCCTTTGGCTTGGCAAAATCAAGGATCACTTTGTTTCCATCTATCTCTCCATCCTCCATGGCTTCCTTAGCTGCTTTGGCATCTTCAGGGGAGCTGAAGTCCACAAATCCAAACCTAGGCAGTGGGATAACAGTCAGCCTCCCAAGGATCCACAAACCACAGGTTCWCCTGCAAGTACTTGCTAATAAGCTCTTAGACAAGCCCACCCTGCAACTCTGCCATCATCCCACCAGTGACCAGGAACGCGTGACCTGTTGAACAGCGATGGCGAACCACAGCTCATGGAGCCACAGTGTGAGATTGCCAATACTGAACAGTTAATATTCTTCTCGTGCGAATCCATAGGCTGCCATGGATTTGTTGGCAGGAAGGAGCTCAAAGAGAAGATGAGCACATGCAAATCCACTAACAAGTGAATCTAAGCTTTAAGCTTGTTCTCTAATCCCATGCACTTCACTGGTTTCAGAGAATCACCTGCATAAACATTAAAGACACCCTGAACTACAAYTGAAGTAAATTAAATAATGGAAAGAATCCCAGATGAGGTTTAACATACCCTTTAGATGATCCAGTGTCTCTGTCTGTGACTATTCTAGCACTTACAGAGCCTTCAAATGACTCTTTTAACGTCTCTTCTGTAGTATCCTCAGAAAGGCCTCTGACAAACAACGTTTTGCTTTGTTCTGTGGAAAGAGAATCCATTTAGGGAAAGTCTGAGCAAGGAATCTATTGATCACTTAATATCTATTTACATCACAGACTGTTAGATCAAYTTATGGTGCTGTTAAAGGGTTTGGTTTGTGTTTCACATGAATTAGCTGTTCAGGGCTGCCTTTAGGAAGTTTTTGAACTTCTGAGGGACTACTATTAGAGCCTTAGGTCAAAGACACCTTCACAGACCAACTCAGGCCAAATAGTATCTTACTTTTAAAAAAGGGAGTTAAGAGGACAAAATAAAGTCTGCTGGATCAGCACTTGACTATCTAGAGGACTTTGCAAATAGTTTCATCAGCATTTCAGATAATCAATCATCATGTCCAGCACTAGCATTTCTAAAGCAAGTCTTGCACTCCACAGGTCTGCCATGCCCCTATTTTTTATATGCAGATATACGCTTGCACTGATTGAGCCTAAGTCACAGTTGTCTGAAGACCAAGTGATCAAACGGGGAAACACTTACGATTAAAACCTCCTCTCGCATTCGTGTTCCCTTTCTGCCACCCTGGTGAACTGAATTCCAGTCTGATTGCTCTGCCTTCAATTTCTGTGTTATTACACGAATTTAAAGCCTCTTTGGCATCTTCAGCTGTGGGAAATTCTACAAATGCGTACCTATTGGAAGAGCAAGATTTCAGTTAGGCTGGGAGTACCAAAAGAAAAATTACTGTCATTTAATAATGCCAACTGAGGGACATGGGACAGATGCAGAACATACCCTTTAGGCCTGCCCTGGTTGTTCTGTGGCATCCTGATGGATGTAGCCTTTTTGAACAGTTCTTGAAGAGTCTCTTCTGAGGCAGAGTATGAGAGGTTGTTTACAATTAGGGTCTTTGTCTCCTTCTCTCCTCCTAGGAAGGAAGCACAGGATTAGAAGTGCAAGTCTGGAAAGGGATGGGAGTCTCTCTCACTACACCCTTCCCAATAATGAAAATAAATGTTGCCCTTCCCACCCTCCTTGTGTGCACTTTAGGCTAAACAGCACTGGTTTACGCACCTGGACTAGTCATCCTCCTCCAATTGAGGAAACATGCAGCGCAGACATGAAAGGCATGAGTACCAAACAGGTAAAAGGTACCTCACTGCTGCCTTAACAACAATGCCTCCAAAGTAATTCTCTCCCTATCAAACTTCTAAAACCAAGTGGAATTGAATCTTAAGTGTCAAACACATGATCATTACASATATAGAAAAATACCTTTCTGACTTTCTTGTTGGCTCTTCTCACCAGTGTAGTCAATAACCATGGCACGACCATCAACCTCTGTGCCTTGCTTCTCCTCCAAAGCTTTCTCTGCTTCAGCTTCCGTTTTGAATTCAACATAGGCCATCCTGGAACACAGGAAACAAACAAACTCAATTCTTTCCACAAAAGAGGTATTTGCTTATGAATAATTGTAGAAGTGCTTTCAACTGGCACATCACACTCAACTGGCACATCTAATCCTGGAGGTTTCCCAGGACAGGTAAAGAACAGGAGTTTATCAGAATACACTAAGTGTTTTATAACAACAAGCGGCCAACAGGCCTCTTGGCTACGTACCCTCTGCTGGTTCCCTCCTTGTTAAATACTAGTCGGATTTCTAGCGCGTTTTCAAACACTTCTTTCATCTCTTCTTCAGTTACGCGGTAGGGCAGATTCTTCACAAAAAGTGTTCTAGCATCTCTCTCTACAAAGAAAAATAAGCATAGAGTTAGTTTCATGTGACCACTTAGCTAAAAATCTCTCTCAAATACTGACAGTTTATTAAGAAAAACAACGAATTCATCACCAAAGACAGACGTGGGAAATTTGCTTTTCAGAAGCTAAAAGGGCAATTATTTTGACAAGCAAATAGACCACTATTATATTTCTCTTTCTCAAGTGCATCAAGTCAGGATGTCATTCCCATAGCTAAGGGCAGAATCACATCTCTTCATCACATTCCTAGTATATATCATTTCTTAAAATTATGTTTTACAGACCTTCCAGTCAGAGCTGGCATCTCTGTGTGTAAACATACAGAGAAGCTACTCAGGAACAGTTTGTCAAAGAGCCCAAGTTGCAGGTATGCCCTAAGCTGAGTGTTAACAGCTACTGATTATTACAGCCTCTTTCCTCAACGCCTACACGTATTCAGAGTTGTGTCGTACCTTTCTTATTTTCTTTAAGGCTTTCCTTGCTCTTTGCTTTTTCCAGTTTGATCTCCAAACCCATGAGCTTCTTTCCGCTCAGCTGAAGAGCTTTATCCATATCTTCAGCAGATGAGAAGTCTACGTAGCCAAATCGTCTGCAAGAGGAATAATGTATTTATTATCTGGTCCRATCGGCTCTAGTATCAGAACAATTTGACCAGAAAGGCCTGGTCAAATTAAATTGTTAATTAAAAAAAAAGTTAAATGTCCCAGAGAAGCAAAGCAATTGTACAGGATGCAAGAGCTCTGTACTTCAGCAGCAGCTTCACTTTTTTGGGATGTTCTGTCTGAAGTGACTGTTGGAAACATTATACCCTACCAGTCCTGCACATGTCCTGCACTGCTTCCAGCTTCCATAGAGGAACATGCAAGCATCCCGGCACTTTGAGGAACTTACTTGGAAGAACCAATTCTAACTTCTGTAACTTGAAGATTCTTCTTGCCAAAAAACTCCTTGATAGCAGTCTTCAGTTCTTCATAATCCTTGGTTGGTGACAAATTTTTCACGAAGAGGGAGAAAGCTGAAGAGCCTTTAAATAAAGAAAGAAGTTTGAGTTTCTGTAGGGCAGCCAGACCTATTGGAAAGTGACCTATTGCAGACACCTTTAGCACATCAGTTTCTGCTTAGAGTTACATCATGTTTCAGTATTAAGTCCCCTAAAATCATCATTTGTGCTGGCAAAAACACCCTGAACATCTAAGCATGTCACTTAGGTCTCTTCTCATCCAASATCCCGGTATAAAATAAACAAGCCCTAAAAATCTGCAAATACTATGGAGAGCATTTGATGAGCCCACACCAACCTACCTTCTGTTTTCTTTTTCTTGGCCTCTGGTGCACTTTTATTGGCCATTTCTTTCTTCCTCTTTCCAGGTGCTTCCTTGACAGGTTCTGGATTGGAGAAGAAACAAAAGATTGGATTCAAAGCATAAAACCTGCGCGCGCACACACACACGAAAAAACAAACAAAAAAAACCCCACAGCTCTTCTATGGTGGATCAGCACACAATTAGCTTTTATGCAGATGCACAAGACCTTTTTGTGCRATTGTGGCAACTACTCCTTATTTCCACCTCAAAGACCAAAACTAGACAAAAATCGTTTGTTCAGAGATGCTTCCCATTATTATGGACAGCTATGTTCACCAAAACTTTTAAACTTACTTTCATCCTCACTCTCCTCATCCTCTTCATCTTCCTCATCCTCCTCTTCATCTTCCTCATCTTCCTCATCRTCATCTTCATCCTCATCTTCAGATTCTGCCATGGCTTTAGCTGGAGTAGCCTTAGCTGGAGTAGCCTTTGCTGGAGTAGGTTTCTTTACTGGAACAGGTGTCGTGTCCATGGCCTCATCTTCGGACTCTGAAATTCAGAGTTCAGTATCAAACTTTGAGCGTGCTCAAGACTAAAGCATTTCTTAAACCAGGCACAAAACTTCATGTCAAACTAAGAGTTCTGCGTCTCCGCATAAGAAAGCATTTTTATCCTTATAGTGCCTATAAAGTGTATTTTTAAGAGAATGACCAAGCTTTCTCTTATACACACCATCATCTTCCTCCTCCTCATCGTCATCATCTTCATCCTCCTCATCCTCAGATTCCTGCTTTGCTGGCACAGCTGCAGGTTTTTTGGCTGGTACAGCTGCAGGCTTTTTGGCTGCAGGCTTCACTGGCAGYACTACCTCCTCCTCCTCATCTGCAATAGAGCAGTTAAGTGTTCACCCAGGGCACTCAACCTTCAAACTCAGCCAAGCACTCTGTCAAAACCCAGTTAAACAAAAGTTCAGAGAACAATAACTAGAACAGGCTTCACACCCTGCACCATACAGGTGGAGTCCAAGAAATTCTCCTGCAAAACTCACTAACTCTTCGCATTTCAATAATCAAACTCTCTCTCGAGCACTAAAACACACTGAACTGTTAACTTACCCAGCCACCAGGCTGAACAAACTGTAATCAGCTTTTCAGATGAACACACACTCTAGGAATAACTTACCAGATTCGTCTTCCTCATCCTCGTCATCCTCATCGTCTTCCTCATCCTCATCATCGTCTTCATCTTCTTCCTCGCTCTCTTCCTTCTTGGCATTCTTTCCATTTTTCGCTCCTTTGGCTACAACAGTGGGCTTTTTAGGTGAAGGGGCAACGACCTTCTTAGCTGGAGTGGCCACAGCCTTCTTGGCTGGTGTGACTGCCTTTTTTGCAGGGGTGGCAACCTTCTTGGCTGGGGTTGCAGCCTTCTTGGCTGGGGTAACTGCCACTTTCTGTTGTTTCTTCTGAGGAACCATCTGAAAGAAACATCAAGTCGGYGCAGAACCTTTAAAATGCAGCTCCTTTGAAGGGATTTCACACTTAATGTGACAAAGAAAGGTCGTTATGCCTTGTCAGGCAAGGAGAGCTATGCAGCCACACTCATAGCAAAGGGAACTCAGCAAAAAAACACCATATAGCCAATAAATAACACACTTGCTTTCTCTGCACACCTGTACTTTTTCTGCATATCTTTGCATCTATACCTTGGTATTGCTACTTCAACGTTGCAGCCTTGCAAATACATGGATACTTGCTAGATTACAGTTGCCTTYTAAGAGACTTACTTGACTGAGTTGCTTAGTTGTTAAATTACTGTTAGCTCAGTAAAACTCAAAAGCAGCTTTGCTACGCCTTGGACAACTGCTGCAGCAGCCAAGCATCTTTTAGTTTCCTGTAATTTTTCTGGTAGCATGTTAGARCCTCAAATTTTTAATCTTAACATATTCTTTTGTGCAGTTACACATCTTAGAAAAACGAGCACTTTTTTAAAGTTTGGGCATAAAACGGAAGAGCAGCAGTTGCTGAGGTCCTTCCAGATGTTTTATTTGCTCACTTGCTTGTYAGTGCTGGAAGGAGCTGTAAGATCGAAGCAGCCCTTCCAAGCTCTGGAAGTGCACAGAGCAGCCAGTTTAACCTCTTTCCTTGCACTTCCCTTGGGCAGTCATGGCTATTCTTCCGCTAGAGTTAATGGATACATGAAGTAGCCGGTACCATTCACAGCCCCATGTACCCCCCCAAACCTGGCAACTTCGCCCCCCTGCCCCGGCTCGGCGGCGCTGCGGGCTCCTCACCTCCTCCCCGCTGCTCTCCTCCAGCTCGGAGGACTCTTCTTCCTCGCTCTCCTCCACCTTCTTGGGGGGGGGAGCCATTTTTTTCTGCTTCATCTGGTTCTTGGGAGTCTGGAAGAGACGGGCGGGGTCAGGGGC